CAGCAGGACGGTCATGAGATGGACTTAAAAAAAACTATTTCAGACAAAAGTGTGGACTTCAGCTGTCCTATTTCAAACATAAGCAGTGGTTAATGATAAATTAAGCTGTCATTTAAAATCATAGGAAATGATAAAATCGCAGGACTTGGAAATGGTGAATCATGCTTGAATCTTAATCACCAGTTAAGGGAAGGCTGGGGTTTGAATCTAAGGACAAACTTAGGTGTCAGTTGAAAGGACCAGAATCTCATTAGGTGTTTTAATCTGGACCAAATAGTGATAGTCTCCATAGAGCAGCTCTCAACCTTTTTTAGACTCCAGATGCAACTTGTTAGACTCAAGGCACCCTTTGGAAAATGCCACCTTTTAGCTTTCACTCATTTTTGGACTGCTGCTGCTGCTGCTAAAAAAAAAAAAAAAAAAAAAAAAAAAAGAGTTCAGAAAGACGTCAGCAGGTAGGAGTGTTTTGGACACCCTGGTCTTCTGTTTGAAATCTCTGGGTTTACTTTGTGAATCATGCATAGGTGTTTGCACACCAAACAGTGCTAATATTGCGTGGCATCCCTCAGCACACTTAAAAGGAACTCTTGACACCCCACGGTGCTACGACACTGATTGAGAATGGCTGCCCTAGCTTGTCAGATCCAGTGAACATTTCCTTACTGGATCTCTGCTGTTTTGTGACTTCTGCGTCAAGGTGAATGCTCCCCCGCCAGCTAGATGCTCAGTGTGGAGGGAAGCAGCCAGCCCTGCCCCCATAGGCACTGCTACTCACCCTTGCCAGGGCTTGTCTTGCGAGGGTCTCAAAAGCCTGTGCCACGTTAATGTCATTCTTGGCGCTGACTTCAAAATATGAGATGTCCTTTTCTTTGCACCAGGCTGAAGCAGCCTCCTGGGGCACCTGCAGGAGGGAATGAGGATGGGGTCATAGTATTGACTTGCAGGGGTTTCACCCGTTCAGGAGGTGAGAAGATCCAGGGTGTGGGTTTCAGCCTTTTCTTACGGTTCTCCTAAGCTCAGAGACCTCTGCGCTGTCCCCAACCATTTCACTCCAGTAAATGGGGAAAGTGTTGGGCTTGTTCTCTGAGAGACCAGGGTCCGACTGTTAAAGGTGCCTTTCTGTGGGAGTCATGTGCCCCTGATCCACACAGAAGCCTGGGTGAGCTGAGGGGCTTCAGGACCTTTAGAAGGTGCACAGGATGTTGCTGAATTAGGGCCTCATTGGTCTCTGGACTTGTCCTGGCAGATGCTGAGCACAGGTGCATCAGGCCACAGTGCTCAGCAGTGCAGTGCTTGCTTGTCACTCCTCAAAGCTACCCTGCTCCCTTGTCCTGAAGAGCATGAGCAGCTGCACATCTTCTCTCTGAGCAGATCAGTGCAGCTGGATTCCCTGCTCCATCTGGTGGGGACATCTGTGTAACATCAGGGCCAGCAGCAGCCTTACTGAGAGAGCTTGCTGCAGATGTTATGGTCTCCAGCAAAGCTCATGGGTGGATTTAGGGTGGTTGAGGAAGGAGATTTCTTTCAGCTCTTGGACAAGGGAGTCTGGAACCAAACATCCCAGCTATCCTGTTGGAGATTTCCCTTCCCTGGCTTCACACTGGTATTCCTACCTTGTTGGTGAATAAACCAAGTGAGCCTGGCTCCAGCTGTGTTAATGGAGACTGGCCTCTTTGAAAGCCATTCCTCATTTTGGATGGCTTAATATTTGGTGGCCCCAAAGGAGATGCATGACAGGGCCCTAGTTTCCAGAAAGCAGGTGCTGGACACTTTCTAGGATTCGGGCTTCCTCAAGGTGTCTGCAGTTGGGCACCCAACATCATTAGCTGCTTTTTGATATTTAGGTGCTAACAAGGGGTGTAAGGAGGTGACATAATGTTTAAATGAATTTGGTGCTGGTGAGCAATAGCTGCCTGACAGGCTGGAGCCAGCATTTCCTACACCACAGTACCAAGTGTGCTCCACCACAGACTAAAGACCCCATCCTGAGGGCTGTGACAGTTCCTAAAAGATTTCTAGGGCCCTTCTCTGAACCCCCACCCTCCCCAAATGCTTTGAGCCCTTGATGGTGCCGGGGCTCCCACCTCACCTGTCGGTCGCTTATATCAATTTTATTTCCCAGCACCACCATGGGGAAGTCCTTCTCCTGGGAGAGAACCTTGTCCAGGAAGTCCTTTCTCCAGTCATCCATGGACTCGAAAGACTCCATGTCTGTGACATCGAAGGCCAGCATGCAGCCATCTGAGCCCTTGTAAAATGTTGACACCATGGACCGGAACCGCTCCTGGCCCCCCGTGTCCCAGATCTACAAAGGGGAGAAGGGCAGGAGATGCAGACACAGCATTAGTGCACATAAAATACCCACATCCTATGAATCCATGAGGCAGCAGGAGTCTGGGATGAGCACCTGCAGCTCAGACTGACTTCAGTACATTTCAGGGATGCTCAGCACAAGCCCTGCTCTGCTGGTGTCAATAGGAATATCTTGTAGTTGACTTAACTAGGGGATGGAGTAGGGGGCCCAAGTGACTGGGACTTGTGCAGCACCCTTTCTGGCCCACATGCACCATGCACATGCCTGGTCAGAAGGCTTTCAGGCTCCCTCTATGTGCACTACTGACTGAACCCCAAATAGGAGTGACTCACCTGCAGCTTGAGTGGGGTGTTGTCCACCATGATGACCTTGGTGAGGATGCTGGCTCCCAGCGTGGTCCTGTAATCTTCATAAAAAGTCTTGTGCACATACTGATGCAGGAGCGAGGTCTTTCCCACGCTGGTGTGGAGGGAGAGATGCACATAGAGACATGTGTTAGCCTTAGGATCTATGCTTCACAGAGTGGGGTTCAGGGAAAGTACAGTTACACATCCCCCGCCCTCCCCACCCCGTACTGCTGTTAAAGAGACAAGGCCAAACTCCAGCCTTTCCTATTCTGTTTGTCTTGTACCTTCCAGAGTTGGCCGTGGTCTTGGCTGTGTCTTAGATAAGGCTTGACTTACCCCAGTGCTCCAATGATGATAATTTTTAAATCCACTTTCTTATTGGAATTCATGAAAGGCACCTAGAGGAGGGAAAGCACCGTGATTACCAGAGCTCCCAGCACAGACCCAAAGGCACCTCCTAAAGGCTGTGACGTTTCCAACCCTTCGGCCCACTTCAGTGAAAGGGCTCCCTGGAAACCCACCTGCCATGATGCTGAGCATCTGCATGTGCTGCTTGTCTCTCTCCCCAGCAACCCCCTCCCTTCTACTGTGCTGCACTTTTCGCTGCAACAAGAGGAGAGGGGGCAGGAAGCATTCAGCACAGCAGCCCACACAGACAGCCAGCACTGGCGACAAGGGGCCTATTGTGACCAGGAAAATGGCCAACAAATCTATCAGTGTTTGTGATGTGTGCAGGAGGTAGTACCGAGCAGCATTATTCAGCCACCGCTCCCCCCACTCATTTATCCCTGCCCGAACCACAGCTCTGTCTCCATGCCCTGAATGGGTGCTTGTTTGCCTATCGTTCTGCGCACTGTTTTATCCTTGCAGCTCTGGGGACATTGGGTGAAACTGAGGCACCTCCCCAAGGGACAGGCCCCCAAGACCATGGCTGACACATGGTCCCATGTCCTACTGAGACCATTTTTGCAGTTCTGTCTGTCCTTACTGTTCCCTGGTCCTGCCTTCTCTCCACCATTGCCCACATGTCTGCTCATCCCGTGCTGCAGCTCATCTCATTGTGTAGCTTGCTGACATGCTCTGGATGCATGCTAAAGGTCATCCCAAGTTGATCCACCTGTAAGTGGTAGCTGGTCATTTGGGCTGTGGAGTGGGAAGCAGCCAGGCTTGAGGCAGCTATATGTCTCCCCTGTGTGCTGTTGGCTACCTCAGCTATGCCAGCCCTAGGGTTCACAGGCTCTCGTGGACCTCTGACCTTTCTCTGTCTGATATTGTCTTATGCCACCATAGGAACTGTGTGAGGCAGGAGTGTCTTGCTGTTATTTGTGTGCAGTGCCTAGCGCTCTTTGAGGCCCAGACATACAACTGCAAAAAGTTTTATCATAAAGACTAGTCGTAGGGATCACCAGGGCGAGGAGCTTTCATGGAACTCCCTGGGCTTTGGCTTTCCTTCCACACCTGAGCCACTCCCATCCAGCCGGCCAAGCATCAGGGAAGGCTGGACAGAAATATTTGTTAAAAAGGAGTTTGTCAGTGCTAGTCAGTCTTTCCTGGCTGCTTTCCAGCTATGACTTCATTAATCACTGCCTTGGGTGGCCTTTCTAAGCTCCATTCTGGACTATTGAGAGCCTTTCAGAGGTGGAGAACACAGCCCAGAATCTGTGCGCCTGTGAATCATTCCTCCATGCAGCTGGTGACTCATCCCTCTTTGGGCCAGGAGAAGGTTTCATTATTATGCAATACAAGGAAGCTAAAAAAAAAATCCTGCCTTGTTTTAGAGAAATTTTCATTCACATTTTCATTTAGCAGAGGTAGATTCCAAAGTATCACTGTCACAGAGACCAGGTCGTACGTGTAGATCTGAACTTGTCCAAAACACATCTCTTTGGATCCAGGGTTCCAGGTTTTTGCTTCAAGCCCTTCCCCTGTGCAATGTGTTTGGAAGTCTTGCTGCAGGTGGAGAACGATGCGTACTAAAACTTTGACCCAAATCCGTGGCTGTGGCAAAATGGCAGTACTTACTAGTCTTGGAAGCAACTTGTGGTCCCTTTGTGCACTGATAACTTGAGACAAGCAGTGTTCAAGCTGGCAAACTTGGAGAAGAAAAGACTGTCCCATCAGGCATAAAGCAATGTCCAAGGAAGGACTACTTGAGCCTAGCATAGGGCAAATGTGACTACACATCAGTGCTCCCTTGGCACGCCCAGCAATAGCATCTGCCGGAGGCAAATCCCTCTGCAAGTGTGCAGCTGGCCAATGATGCAACAGTAGGGCATGAGGAAGGAGAGTCTTTCTCATTAACGGCTGCTAATTCACTTGGGACTGTTAAGCGTGAGAGAAGGAAATCAGTGCCTGGTCCAACTGATGGATAAAAGGCCTCTAGGAAAGGATGGATGTGGATCCTGAACAGACCTCTCAGGTTGGCTGAATAAATATAGGAGCAAATGGATAGTCCCGCCCAGCAAAGCCAGGAGGCAGGCAGTGATGGCCCTGACGTTTTGGGCTTGAGAGGTAATTTGTACTGAATGAGTTTGCCAGTCCCCATGCAACTCCAGACCCAGAGCAAAGCGCGCAGTGTGAGGAAGTAACACCTCTAGAGGCAGCTCAGTGCTGCCCGCCCTTTCAAGCTGGTGGCACCTGTCACGGATCTTCAAGCTGTCCGCTGGTGAGTTGCTTGCGCTTGGAAATTCCCTAGGCATCTACTGAGAAACACCAGCAGCGTTTTATTTCTCTGTGTTGCCTTTATATTCACATGCTGAACTGAGCACTGCCTGAACCTCTTGGCACTGAGCTGGGAGGGTTGTGAATGGGGGAAATAAGTCAGCAGATCTGCCCGTAGCATGTTTCCACCTCCCACAGCAGCTCTGTCGAAGGGACTGTCAGCTGTGTTTCACACTAACTTGGGATTTTTCGGGATATACGGGCCTGCATCCACACACGAGTGGTTTGGCTGAACTATCTACCTGCCTGTTACACACTAATCGGGCCGCTTTGGAAGCAGAATAACTTCCATGCAGGCTCAGTTACTCTACTCCACAGGGGACATGGATGCATCCCCCGCCTGCCCTCCCTCTTCAGCTAACAGCTGGGAGACTTGCCCCTCCAGTGTCAGCTGATTGGGAGGCTGCTGCCTCACGCCAGTCTGCCAGTAAAAACCCAGTAACTAGTGTAATGGAAACAGCAACAGAAAGATTCATACCTTGAAGAGGAGGTGAGCTCACCTTTGTGCACCCCAAAAGGCAGGAATGAGCTCTAAGCATTTTTCCTTTCCTCTAGAGGTCTCCTTTATGGTCTCATGTTAAATGAACATGTACCCAGCTGCCTCTGGTCAATCTTTCAAGGGTGCTTGGCACCAAGGAGTGAGGCTGAAGTGAGCTGTTAGGTGCTGTACAGTTTTAGGTCATTCAATTCCTGCATCTGTGCAAAATGCCAAACCACCCCATAGAGTCCATTGCTGACATAAGCAGGTAGTGATTGCTGCATGTGTAAATCACCCCATGTGCCTGTAGGTGCCATGGCCTGTGCACCTGTGACTAGGAGTATGTGAGTCTTTGCACATGTCAAGGCACCCATGCGTCAGTCAAGGGCACTGGCTGCTCTCCACGCTTTCTCTGGAGAGCCTTGCTGTAGGGTGGCATCCAGTTGCCACGCTGAATGCGGCAGGCAGCATTGCATCAATAATAGCACCCAGCGCTTTTATGCTAAGGGATCAGACATATAAGAGAAACTGCAGGCAAGAAGCAACCTCCAGTGCAGTCCAGCTATGATATGAGCCAGGGTCTGTCAGAACTTATTTTTTTAATTTTCCGTATTCCAAGCCAAATCAATTCCAAATCCATGAGTCAGTCCAGAACCATAAGTGGCCTTACTACCAGCAAACATCCTCCACCCCCATCTGGGGCTTCAGATGTTCCCAAATCCTTTGGCGGCCATCCTAGTTGCAGGCTTGGGGTTCAGATGCCTCCAAGTTTTGCTTGCCTGTAACCATAAGGCCCCAGGGGCAAACTAGGAAAGAGTTTCTCATTTCCATAAAGTGGGATAAAGCCAAGGTTAATTATGCATGACCTATGCGGATACTATCTCATGCCAGCAGAGCAGTCTTCCCCAGGTGCAACAAGGAAGCCACCATGATGATCATGGTATTTCCCCTGCCAGGCAAGCATAGGACTACGCTTGATCTGAGCCCACAAGAGGCCGAGAAGTCTCAGGGTCTGTCAGAAATCAGCATCTCCAGTAACCCTTGGGGTGGTTGCAAGGCCAGGCCCCCACTGAAGAGCTCTCCACCACCCCCATATAACGCTATTCATCTCTGTGGAGCTGCACCTGGGGTCTGAGAGCAGAACTGGGCCCCTGACTCAACTGGGATGAGACTTCCTTTGGTCCCACTTCTGGCTTATCAGTCCTTTTTCCTAGCCTCATACCTTCCCTAGGCTCTGTGCTGTCAGGCTTCTGGAGTGGCTTGTACCCAGGCACAGCTTGGGGCAAGCTGGCTTCATCTCCTCTTCCAAGCTTGAGGGGGAGCCAGCTCTCTACCCCCGTGACCCAAACCCAACTGCAATGTCTCAGCAAACCAGAGTTTGCCTCCTGGGCTAAGATGCAGGGCAGCATGTAAGGAGAGGCGGAGGGAACTGGGCTTATTTAGTCTGGAGAAGAGAAGATTGAGAGGGGATTTAATAGCAAACTTTAATTACCTGAAGGGTAATTCCAAAAAGGATGGAGCTAGACAGTTCTCAGTGGTGGCAGGTGACAGAACGAGGAGCAATGGGCTCAAGTTGCAGCAAGGGAGGTTTAGGTTAGATATTAGGAAAAACTTTTTCACAAGGAGGGTAGTGAAACACTGGAACAGGCTCCCCAGAGAGGTGGTGGGAACATCATCCTTGGAGGCTCTTAAGACCTGGCTAGATAAAGCCCTGGCTGGGATGATATAGTTGGGGCTGGTCCTGCTTTGAGCAGGGGGTTGGACTAGATATGATCTCCTGAAGTCCTTTCTGACCCTCGTTTTCTGTGACTCTATGATTCTGTGTCTGAAACTGTGTTCGCCCCTAGAGGGAAGCCAGGCACCAACACAATCAGGTAAAGCAGCTAAAAATGTACCACACCTTCCTGGCCTGTCTGGGCAAGGCCCTGGTGAAGGAGCCTCCCCAAAGCAAGTTCTTTCTTAGAGTCACTAGCAGCAAGGGCATGCAGCCCTATACACTGCCCTGGAAGCCTTCACACTCTCCGTGACATCCATACATTGCTTTCCTGCCAGCCTCGCTGTGCTGGGCACTAAGTGCCACTATACCACACCCACCCTCTTACACCAGAAAGCCCTATAGGACATCTCAAAGGCAGATGTGACCCTCAGAGTCCTGAAATGTGGCCTCTCAGTCCTGGGGGACTTGATTCCACCCAGCTGGATTCTTACTAGGCTCCACTGACCGCGGGGATGCTCTGGGTCTTTGCTTTCCTCACTGGTGAAGCCAAGCAAAACCCGGCAGCTGTCGCAGAGGGGTGGGGGTACAGGGGTTACAGCTGGTGATTTTGTGATTGTTCTTACAGTTATGTGCACATAGATGGACATTAACAGCGGCCCCAGGGAGGCAGCAAGTTGCCAGTACAGACCACGCAGCCTCTGTGTCTTGGCTAGCAGAGCTGTGCGACTCCACCTCGGGTGGTGGGGAAGGTCATCATCTTGCCATCCTTCTTGAAGCTGCCTGCCAGCAAGATGCAGCCTGTCTGGATCCGTGAAAAGTCAGGGACAGCTGGGTCTGGTGTTGGCCCTGTGTCAGGCAAACAGGGACAGTAGGCACAGACTGACTTGTATTTGATGCTAACAGCAAAGAAAGCAGTTAGAGAGGCCTTGGCTTGCCACTCTGCAGTGGTCCCCAGGGAGGGGGACTTGTAGAGGAGAGGAATGAGCCTTTTTTGCTTCTTTCAGACATGGAGGGAAGGACTGAAAACAGGTGTGTTCACTTCAGTCCTTTTACTTAGCGCTATCAGAAATGTTGAACCTTGCTTGGCTCTTGAACTTGCAGGTGGGCAGGGAGCTCCATCAGCTTTGAATAGAAGGGGCAACTTTAACAAAGAATGCTTTCTGCCGAGTGTTTGGTAGGCACTGGAGTCCAATGGTAGCTAACAACAAGAGAGCAAGGAGTTTTAAACAGGGTGGTGAGAAACCACTCCCTACTGCATTTGATTAGAAGTGGTGTCTGGGATGCTGCACCCACCAGCGAGTTCTCTGCCTGGCCCAACAGACAAAACCAACTAATGTCATTACAAAAAGGGACCAATTGACACTACCAGAAAATGCGGCCCTAAGAAGTGCTGCTAGATGTGTGTGGAAACCCCTCCTAACTTTTTTCATTACACAAGCAAGTACAACAGCTTTTTTTGGTTTTCAGGCTGACAAAGAAACAAGAAAAAAAATCACCCAAAAGTTTCGTTCAGCCCGTAATGAAATGTTTTCCTCGGTTTGGGGCAGTAGGAGTAGAGGGGAAGCGTTAGTTTTAATTTTCAACTTTTTTACTCAATTCAAGTAAAGTTTGTCTCAAAAGAGAGTCCCCAAGTAAAAACTGGAACTTCACAAGGAAAGCTTTGGACTGCTCCTGGAGTTTCAGATCTTTTGGGGTAGTTTGTTTGTTTTTTTGCCAGGAGGATTCTTTTCTTTCTTCTTTCCTTGATTTGGTACGTGTTGTTTTTGTACATGCCATTTTCTGAATAAATAGTTTGCTTGGAAAGCTTTGTCCCAGCCCAGTTCCTCCAGCTCTGCTCTGCCCAAGACCAGGTCTTGGCCTCCCCTTGGCTAAACCAGCTGTCCCCTTGCTAGAGCAAGCCTCTGGTCTAGCCAGCTGGCAGCCCACTCTGGGGATGGACTGTGGTCCATCTGACTGCCTGGACTCTTCTCCAGCAGCACTGCCTCCTGCCTCTGGGTGCAGCCCAGCACTGAAGGGCCAAATGCGGTGGCCACCAATCAGGCTAAGACCTAGAATCACACCAGGGGTGGGGGAGCCAGTCTGTAGTTGTGGGCTAAGCCCCAGAAGGGGTGGAGAAGGTGCAGCACCTGTTGCTCCAGCCACCCAGTGACATGTGGCAGTGTGGAGCCCCAGCAGCAGATGGGAAGGCTCACTGACAAGATCCTGCCTCTGCATTTTTTCCTGATGTGTTGTCCTGAGCTGTCCTACTTTACGGGCTTGCCCCTGCCCAGACTGCTCTCTAGCCCATAGACAGGGACCCAGGCACTCTGGACCTTCTGTCAAAAGAGCCACATATTTCCGTCTCCCCTGCCTGTTGTATGTCTATGCAGTCCCAGATCTAGGCACTCAACCCCACCTCATGCTTCACCAGGTTTAGAAATCTTTGCTTTGCCAGACTTTTAATTCAAAATGGACTTTGCAATCCTGATTTCCCTGCTCCGGGGAGTAGGCTGTTCTGTGTCCGATCCCCTGGCTTTGCTACAGCCTGAGCTGCGGCATAACTATTTCGATCCACCGCCTGCCAAAATTCCACCGCTCCCCTACCAGAAAAAAGGGCAGCAAAGAAAAGGCACTTACATGCTGTGGCATCTGTTCTGTGAGATCTTCTCTCGCCGAAGGGACCTGCAGGCTGTCAGCTTCTCCGCTGCCCTGGCCGCCACTCCGGTTCTCTGTTCTTTACTTGGCTTTCTAAAGAGGAAAGAGTCAGGAGGGGCTGGGAGGAGGATCCAGGAAATTGCAGCTTCTCAGAGTATTTCCCTTTTTCTCTCCCTCATTCTTCCCTGGCAGACAGTGAAGGGAAACGTGCTAAGGACGCAAGCCAGAAGTTACATCAGCAAGAAAGGGGCTGAGATAATCAGATTGGGTTGGGGAATGTCTTTCCTACGGAGAATGAAGCAGAGCGTGTGTCTGCGAAGGGATTTGGGGCTGAAGTGAACTTCCTGGGCACCAACCAAGTGAGGAAATTAGTAGTTCTGCACTTTTCCAATCCTGAAAGGCACCCCCTCCCAGATCTGCACGTTTACCTCTACTTAGGTCTCTGCTTAGCTCTAGGGATGTCTTCATTCTTAAAAAGAAACAAAACAAAACCAACAGCAAACCTTGCTTCCACCATCTCTCTACTGACAGGGGATGGTACTCTTCTTGGGCGGGGGGAGGTCTGATGTTGGGGACAAAAACCTGAATTTTTTCCAAGTTCTTTGCTTTCTTTTCTGTCACAGGGCTCCCAGTGCCTCTTATCTGCTGCTGACCTCACATCCAGCCAGGGCTGTTTTTGTCGTGGGCTTATTCAGGGCTGAAAAACACCCCATTAGTGATATCGGTGTTGTCATTGTCACCTGAGCAAGTTCCCTGGACTTTGCTCAGTTAGTACTGATAAGGCCAAGTGGGAAGTCGCCTTGTGTGCCTAATGTATTGGGTGGGGGGCAGCTCTGGTCAGCCATGGCAGGGAGTTGTCACCCTCCGAATGTGCTCAGGTAACTCTGGGCCTGTTTAGCAGGACAGCTGTTTCTGGGCAGTCCCAGCAGAGAGGCCTGGACTGCCTCTCCAGGAACTTTTGGGGAACACCATGCAGGTTAGGCTGTGGAGTCAGCTGTGCTGTGCTAAGTCGTAGCTCTGGATCCCCACTTCACATGGAAACAGCAAGCATTATTTCTAATATTGCAGGTGGGGAAACTGGGGCACGGGGAAGCAAAGTGTTTTGCCGAAGTCCCGCAGTAGGGCTGGCCTGGAAATAAAACTCAGCTCTCCATTAGGATGTGCTGCCTCCAGCAGTGGAGTCAACCTTTAGGAACATCAAGCCAGCCCTTCTCACCAGCTCTGTATTCACCAAACCAGATAAAGCAGGGGTGGGCAAAATGTCGCCCACAGGCCGAATGCGGCCCACCAGGCCATTCTATCTGTCCCATGGGGCCCCTAGAAAATTTGGAAAATTAATATTTATCTGTCCCTGGCAACCTGTCATGTGACCCTCAATGGCTTGCCAAAACTCAGTAAGTGGCCCTCCGCCTGAAACAATTGCCCGCCCCTGAGATAAAGGGAGGGAAAGA